TCGAAGATTTGTGAAATAGTACTCAGAAATTGCATTGCCACTTACTAAATTGACAAATAAGGATAAGGATTGAGACTGGTCATCCCAATGCCAAAGTGCTTTCGAAAAGTTGAAGAACTGTGTGTGGACGAACCCGGGTTAGCCTTATCGAATATGACTAAACCATTCAAAGTGCATACCGATACTTCAGACTTTGCACTTGGTCAAGTCCTTATGCAATATGGATATCTTGTAGCTTATGAAAGCCGAAAGCTAAATCAAGCAGAATGTCGTTACTTGGTGCACGAAAATGAGTTGTTGGCAGTAGTTCATTGCTTTAGGGGATAACGTCACTATTTGCTTGGGTCTCCATTTATTGTGAAGACGGATAACACTACGGTTAGTCACTTTATGTCCCAACCGAAACTATCAAGCAAATAGGCTCATTGGCAGGAACTTCTTTCAGAGTTCAATTTTATGCTAAAGTATCGGCCCAGATCTAGTAATCATGTTGTTGATGCTCTTAGTTGCCCAGCCGACTTAGCCACCATTTGCTCTATGGCTGCTCTTTCAGGGAGCACAATTACCACAAATACAATGGACTAAATTCGGGCGCTTTTCGATAAGGACCCGGTTGCTCAATATTTGGTCAACCTCATCAACCAGGGTAAAACTCGAGAGTTCTGGCTCGATGAGGGGCTAGTAAAGACTAAAGAAGACCGCCTATATGTCCCTAAGGGCGGAGATTTGATGAAATCACTAATCACAGAATGTTACGACACAATTTGGGCAGAGCATCCCGCAAAGGAACGCATTTCTGCACTATTACAAAGCACATACTACTGGCCTCAAATGCGGGACAATATTGCAATTTATGTGAAAATTTATCTTGTTTGTCAGCAAGATAAGGCATATCTCAACTAGATCATTCGAGAGTGTATTGATGGACTACATTGTTGGATTGCCAAAAGTTGGAGATTTCGGTACTATCATCGTCGTGGTAGATCGTCTATCAAAGTACGTAACTTTCATCACAGTATGTATCAACCGAAGAGATAGCTCAACTCGTTTTCAAGCATATTGTCAACTATTATACTAGGGACTACCTAAGGACATCATCAGTGATCGGGTCCTCGAATTACCGGCATATTTTGGATTGAGTTGTTCAAACTTCTTGGTTCAACTTTGAATATGAGTTTTAGTTTTCACCCACAACTGACGGACA